GGGAAGACCAGTGGGAAACTTTTCTTTGCATCCATGTACCATCCTCCAAGCCCAGCACAGTGTGCAGCACAGAGGAAAGTCTCGGTAAGTATTTGGTGAATAATTAATGAAAACGTTTTGACCCCTTCAGATCCCCATCCCCTATCTGCTCAGTTAGATTTTGACATCTCCACTTTTGTGTGTGTACATTTCTAAATAACAGATGTCACCCAGAGGACTCAGTTTTTGCACAATGGGCCATTGAGGATGGAAAGTGGAATCAGTCACAGCCTGGATGACTAACCGTGGCCTGTGGGCCACCTGTGACCTGCGTAGGTATTGTGATACAGTCCACGATCTAATTTCGAACTGAACTATTTGAAAGCCAACTCCATGGGGGCTGCTTCTCAAACATACCCAAATATTTGCATTTCAGTGGCCGAAAGGCAATGGAATATCTTTTCTTAATAGCCTTCTATTCAGTCAAGCAAGTAAGCTCAGTTTTGAGAATGTCTCTCTTACCCCAAGGAACTCAACACAACTGTTTTCTCTTTGAAGCAACCGAAAGAAAGTGGCCAGTAAGCACAGTTATTTTCCCTGGAGCACTCCTTGTGTATCAAAGGTTGTTCACCATTGTTCTTGAAAGAGGATGTCCTCCAATGGTCTTTCCAGCTTTAAAACTCTGAGATCGCCTGGGAAGACCAGTGGGAAACTTTTCTTTGCATCCATGTACCATCCTCCAAGCCCAGCACAGTGTGCAGCACAGAGGAAAGTCTCGGTAAGTATTTGGTGAATAATTAATGAAAACGTTTTGACCCCTTCAGATCCCCATCCCCTATCTGCTCATGGGGTCTGAGGACCCCAGCAGAGAAGGATCTTGAGAGGCAATTAGAGCCCTAACCGGTTTGGCTCAGTGGATAGAGCGTCGGCCTGTGGACTGAAGAGTCCCCGGTTCGATTCTGGTCAAGGGCATGTACCTTGATTGCGGGCACACATCCTCAGTTGGGGATGTGCAGGAGGCAGCTGATCGATGTTTCTCTCTCATCAATGTTTCTAACTATCCTTCTCCCTTCCTCTCTGTAAAAAAAATCAATAACCAGCAGAGAAGGATCTTGAGAGGCAATTAGAGCTCTAACCGGTTTGGCTCAGTGGATAGAGCGTCGGCCTGTGGACTGAAGGGTCCCTGGTTCGATTCTGGTCAAGGGCATGTACCTTGGTTGCGGGCTCACATCCCCAGTAGTGGGTGTGCAGGAGGCAGCTGATCGATGTTTCTCTCTCATCGATGTTTCTAACTACCCTTCTCCCTTCCTCTCTGTAAAAAAATCAATGAAATATATATATATTTTTAAAAAGAGGCAATTAGATTTCAAAGTATCATTTAAAGAAACAATCACACAGCTCAGGCTGGCTTGGCTCAGTGGTTGAGCGTGGACCTATGAACCAGGAAGTCACCTTTTGATGCCAGTCAGGGCACGTGCCAGGATCGTGGGCTGGATCCCCAGTGTGTGGCGTGCAGGAGGTAGCCAATCAATGATTCTCTCTCATCGTTGATGTTTCTATCTCTCTCTCTCCCTCTCCCTTCTTCTCTGAAATCAATAAAACTATATTTTTAAAAAAGTGAAAAAAGAAACAATCACATATCACATATATATTGTACTGTAGTAATTTTGTATTTACATTTGTATGATGTGACAGAATAGATGTGAATGTTAATCGCTGCTTGACTATGTTAATTAAGTTGTTTAACTATAAAAAAGGAACAATCACAGAGCGTCAAAACGTCCCTTAAAATGTCTCTTCAGTCACCCACGCTGTGAAGAAGTGGATAGTTTCTCAGGATGTCCACCTCAGTCCCTTTCCCCTCCAGCTTGAACTGACCTTGTGTCTTGGGCTGAACAACTGATGAAGAGGCTGCCTTGTTTAAGGATCAGCAGGTTGGCACTCGGCAGGGGGAAGGCTCACTCTAGGAGAGGCCAAGGGGCGAAGGGAAGGACTGGCACAACCAGATTTTCTATCTCCTGCTTTCTGGGCTGTGAGTGGGATGGAGGTTGAAATGACCTCCTCTGCCCTGGCCTCCTTCTCCCTCACCCCCTTCCTCCCTCCCTTCCCTTCTCTCCCCTTTTTCTTCCTCTTGCCCTTCCCACTACCCACCTCGTTTAGTATAATTTGAGTAACTAAAACACACTTCTGTGTTCCTAAACGTTCACAGACCAATGCATGTCCCCAGTCAAAGGCACAGAAAGGAGCTAGCCCTCTGCCCCTGGTGCCCATCCCCACACAGAACATTCTGAGGTTGATAGGAAGTGTTCTTTGCATCCTTACTGCTCCCATCTTCAGATAATCTCCAGGAAACAGAACAAGGGGTGGGGGGTGCTTCAAGCAAGCGCCACATTAGATTCTAAAACCACTGATTCATCCTTTTTCCATCCAAATAAAATCCCTGTCTTTACAGTAAATGTGATGAATGGAAAGAGTATCCTCAGAGATTTATGCACATCTCACGGGCGTTCCCCCCTCCCCCTTTCTCTCCTCCTTCCCCATCTCCTTTTCATTTTGCAGTGCGACAAAGTTTCATGAGGAAGGGTTTATAGAAAATCCATGCCTGGGGATTTATTCAGGCCTTTGTCATGAATTATGGCAACATAGAACCAGCCTCTTGCTATACAATTCGAAATATCTCAACAAGGCGATTACAATGAAGTCCACAGCTCTCTTCAGTGGGAGTAGGACTTGGGCGCATGCAGGTGCTCGCCCAGATAGGAGCGAGAGGGACTCGCTACAAAGGCTGCCTTTGATGGGAAGGCTACGCTGACTTTTCGAAGGGAAGGCAGTCTTTTTCCCCAAAACAATACTATGCGGAACTAAAATTGTCTTTTTAAAACCCAGATCAGCATCGATGGGGCACGGAAGTGACAGCACTAGAGACTAAAGAGTTTCCCTGCGTGAAAAATGACCTCATCCCTTGATGCATCTTTGCAGCCAGTCAGGGCACTTGCCAGAGTCATGGGCTTGATCCCCAGTGTGTGGCGTGCAGGAGGCAGCCAATCAATGATTCTCTCTCATCATTGATGTTTCTCTCTCTCTCTCTCTCCCTCTCTGAAATCAATAAAACTATAATTTTAAAAAAGTAAAAAGAGAAACAATCACATATCACACATATATTGTACTGTAGTAATTTTGTATTTACATTTGTATGATGTGACATAATAGATGTGAATGTTAATCGCTGCTTGACTATGTTAATTAAGTTGTTTAACTATAAAAAAGGAACAATCACAGAGCGTCAAAACGTCCCTTAAAATGTCTCTTCAGTCACCCACGCTGTGAAGAAGTGGATAGTTTCTCAGGATGTCCACCTCAGTCCCTTTCCCCTCCAGCTTGAACTGACCTTGTGTCTTGGGCTGAACAACTGATGAAGAGGCTGCCTTGTTTAAGGATCAGCAGGTTGGCACTCGGCAGGGGGAAGGCTCACTCTAGGAGAGGCCAAGGGGCGAAGGGAAGGACTGGCACAACCAGATTTTCTATCTCCTGCTTTCTGGGCTGTGAGTGGGATGGAGGTTGAAATGACCTCCTCTGCCCTGGCCTCCTTCTCCCTCACCCCCTTCCTCCCTCCCTTCCCTTCTCTCCCCTTTTTCTTCCTCTTGCCCTTCCCACTACCCACCTCGTTTAGTATAATTTGAGTAACTAAAACACACTTCTGTGTTCCTAAACGTTCACAGACCAATGCATGTCCCCAGTCAAAGGCACAGAAAGGAGCTAGCCCTCTGCCCCTGGTGCCCATCCCCACACAGAACATTCTGAGGTTGATAGGAAGTGTTCTTTGCATCCTTACTGCTCCCATCTTCAGATAATCTCCAGGAAACAGAACAAGGGGTGGGGGGTGCTTCAAGCAAGCGCCACATTAGATTCTAAAACCACTGATTCATCCTTTTTCCATCCAAATAAAATCCCTGTCTTTACAGTAAATGTGATGAATGGAAAGAGTATCCTCAGAGATTTATGCACATCTCACGGGCGTTCCCCCCTCCCCCTTTCTCTCCTCCTTCCCCATCTCCTTTTCATTTTGCAGTGCGACAAAGTTTCATGAGGAAGGGTTTATAGAAAATCCATGCCTGGGGATTTATTCAGGCCTTTGTCATGAATTATGGCAACATAGAACCAGCCTCTTGCTATACAATTCGAAATATCTCAACAAGGCGATTACAATGAAGTCCACAGCTCTCTTCACTGGGAGTAGGACTTGGGCGCATGCAGGTGCTCGCCCAGATAGGAGCGAGAAGAACTCGCTACAAAGGCTGCCTTTGATGGGAAGGCTACGCTGACTTTTCGAAGGGAAGGCAGTCTTTTTCCCCAAAACAATACTATGCAGAACTAAAATTGTCTTTTTAAAACCCAGATCAGCATCAATGGGGCACGGAAGTGACAGCACTCGAGACTAAAGTGTTTCCCTGCGTGAAAAATGACCTCATCCCTTGATGCATCTTTGCAGCTCATATAATGACCTTTAAAATCCACTTGCTGAGAATTGGAAAAAGTGGGAAAAAATCCAGCAAGAAGGCCCCGAAGTGATGATAAGGGATTGTTTAATGGCCTGCTAATCGGTCACGGTGCCATCTGTGACCTACAACATAAACCAAGGGAGTAGGCAAGTCGCTTTCCTCGGCTTTTCTGGATAAAAATCTGATGTGAGAATTAAGATCACTTTGATGATCAGTTTCTGTTCTGGGCCAAATCTCTATGGCCCGTCCAACCCCAGAATCAGTTTCCATGGAGACCTCCAGGGATGTTCAGTGGTCCAGCTGACCATCTCAGATAAGCAGGATGGTTCCTGCCATCCATCAGATGATGCTGTTGGTTACATTCAGCTTCGAGTAGGAACCTGTGGGTCTTGTCAGTTCCAACAGATACAGTTTATCTGCAGAAGCCTGGACCTTCTCTGTCCTTCTTGTCTCAACACCACTGCCACCTGCTCCAGAAGTCCACCCTGACCACTTGATCAAAAGAATCTTCCCATCCCCCAGACACTGGCTACCATCCCCCAGACACTGGCTACCATCCCCCAGACACTGGCTACCATCCCCCAGACACTGGCTACCATCCCCCAGACACTGGCTACCATCCCCCAGACACTGGCTACCATCCCCCAGACACTGGCTACCATCCCCCAGACACTGGCTACCATCCCCCAGACACTGGCTACCATCCCCCAGACACTGGCTACCATCCCCCAGACACTGGCTACCATCCCCCAGACACTGGCTACCATCCCCCAGACACTGGCTACCATCCCCCAGACACTGGCTACCATCCCCCAGACACTGGCTACCATCCCCCAGACACTGGCTACCATCCCCCAGACACTGGCTACCATCCCCCAGACACTGGCTACCATCCCCCAGACACTGGCTACCATCCCCCAGACACTGGCTACCATCCCCCAGACACTGGCTACCATCCCCCAGACACTGGCTACCATCCCCCAGACACTGGCTACCATCCCTCAGACACTGGCTACCATCCCCCAGATACTGGCTACCATCTCCCAGACACTGGCTACCATCTCCCAGTCACTGGCTACCAGCTCCCAGTCACTGGCTACCAGCTCCCAGTCACTGGCTACCAGCTCCCAGTCACTGGCTACCAGCTCCCAGTCACTGGCTACCAGCTCCCAGTCACTGGCTACCAGCTCCCAGTCACTGGCTACCAGCTCCCAGTCACTGGCTACCAGCTCCCAGTCACTGGCTACCAGCTCCCAGTCACTGGCTACCAGCTCCCAGTCACTGGCTACCATCCCCCAGTCACTGGCTACCAGCTCCCAGTTTCTTTTCTTATGAGTGTTAATAGCTATTCTTCCTCTCATAGAACCAAACTCTGAGAATCTGTTCGTCTTATTCACCATGGTGTTTACAATACCCAGAACAGTGCCTGGACACTGCAATTATGAAACAAAAGTGTGGATATAGGGATGGCTTTCCATCCTAATACTCATTTTTACACTTGTATCTTCTTTTATGTAAGTCCAATATTCTGGCATCATATCCTTAAATAATTGAGCATATTCTTCCACTTGATCTTTCACAGAAGGATCCCAGGGCCTGCCCCACCAGGCCATGAAGGGACAACTTCATCCTCTTTCTTTCGGGAGCACAACAGGTACAAATGGAAATGGGTGTGGACTTTGGAGACTGTGGAGGTACCTGTGGCAGGCGAGGTCTTCTGGAAGCAGATGTTGAGTTGGAGTCTGGGGTAGGAGGTGTTTGTTAGGAATCGACACCTAGGAAAGGAAGGGGGAGGAAGCAGGCTGGAGGTAGAGACAGGAAGGCTTGGAATAGCATCGCAGGCAGGGCTCAGCCCCGGAGCAAGTACTGGGCGGTGTCAGAGTGACTCAATGTCCCGTAGAGCTACCCCTGCTTCACTGCATCGCAGGGTGTGGGCTGGCCCGGGGACCGAATCCCTGCCGCTAAGGGAGGCCGACCCTGAAGGAGCTGACTGCCCAGGCCGTCTCAGGCCACGCTCCCTGGAGCCGGGCAGTGGGTCCCCCTGGACAGGGCACCTCCTCTGCACTTCAGCGTTGCAACTTTCCAGCTTCTAGTAGAAGTCTGGCTACTGGGTGTCTTCGAAGATGAGCCACAAATAGTCCAGTTCCTAAATTAGAAGTCACGTCCTGTAAGTGCTTGCTGACTTGGCAGCAGCAACACTGACATAATTTCACAAATAATGATGTTATCCCAGGCAAAAGTTGCACTAGATCAATCACCACTCTATTTCGGTGGCATCTGATAGCTCCCCGTGTTTATTTCAGTTCGCCTATTTTTAAACCAACGCTCTCCAGCTTCTGAACCACAACCAGGAGCTACCTTCCCTTTTCAGCCCTCGATAGCATCTGGCTCACATTTTGAAGTGAAGACCGTGATGTGAACACCCTCTCCCAGCCTCTCCTCTCAGCTCCTTGCCTTTGTGCACTTTAACTGGGGGGAAGGGAGAGGCTGTTCAGCTACAAGGAGAGGCAAAAACTTAAGGCAAAAAAGAAAGGAGAGAATATTGTTGCCTACGGACAATGGAAGGCGATTAACGTGAACTGTGACAGGAGAAGGTGTGGGTTTGTTCGGAGAATATTTTCTACTTCTCATAAGGGGGATTGGGAAATATTTTCCTGTTGGAGAAGGGTGTTGAACACAGATGGAGGGGGGCGGGGACTGTCAAGAGAAGTCGTTAAACCTGAGATGCACCCCGTGCGGCTGATGTTATTATGGGTTGAATCGTGTTGCCCCAAATTTTTATGTTGAGTCATAATGCCTGGGGTCTCAGAAGGTGACCTTATTGGAAAATAAAGTGGTTCCAGCAGTTGCAGCGAGGTCATGGGGGTGGTCCCTAATCCAGTATAACTGATGTATTTATAAAAGGGGGAGGGGACCCTTTCCTCCTCCCCATGTGGGAGTCTGTACTTGTTCTTCAATAGATCTCCACCTTTGCTATACTAAAATAAAATAAAAATTAATAAAAAATTAAAAAATAAATAAAATAAAAGGGGAAAACCTGGACACAGACAGACATGCAAAGGGGGAAGAGGGTGTGAAGAGACACAGGGTGGATTGTTACCGGCTGGATGCTTGTGTCTCCCACCGTCCTCACCCCACGTAGGGAAAACGCAGCCTCCTCCCGTGTGTCTCTAACCTCACGCAACGCCCACACTCATGATTCGCTGACACCGATGAGAGGGAGTTTTCCCGCACCACGCAATTCTGCCACGCCAGCTGGTGTCCTATAGTTAAGCTCAATTTTGTCACCATCTACCTGGAGACAATGTCAGGTCCCAAAGTTAAGGACTCGGTCCCCCACACAGACTGCAGACGCCCATCGTAAGAAGTAGGTGGCCACCACTACTGTCCCGTCCGATTTAGCTACACATCAGAGGTTCCCACGACCCCCTCCTCGGGTTCGATTAATTTGCTAGACCAACTCACAGAACTCAGAGAAACATGTTTGCTAGTTTATTGAAGGACGTGATAAAGGAAACAGATGAACAGCCAGATGAAGGGATGCACAGGGTGAGGTCTGGGGGTCCTGAGTGCAGGAGCTTCTCTCCCCGTGGAGTTGGGGTGTGTCTTCCTCGTGGTGTGGATGTGTTCACCAACGTGGGAGCTCCGTGAGTCCTGTACTATTGGTATCCTGGAGACTTCCTCATGCAGGCCTGGTCACTTATTAACTCCATTTCCAGCCCCTCTCTCCTCTCTGGACAATGGGGGGTGAGGCTGAGAATTCCAAGCTTCTGATCACAACGTGGTCGTTCCAGGGACCAGATCCCACCCTGGCACCACCCAGAGTCACCTCATTGGAATAAAAGATGCTCCTAGTGTTCTCACCACTGAGGAAATGCAAGGGTTTTAGTGGTTCTGTGCCAGACCCCGGGGGGCAGAGCCCAGTCTATATATTTTATTATCTCACACCCCAAATTCACTTGTTGAGGCCGCAGCCCCCAGTGTGATGGCGTTTGGAGGTACCACTCAGGTGTGGTACTTGGGAAGGCAGCCCCAGCTGGGTTAGGTCAGCGGAAGGCAAGGTGACCCTTATGAACTGTCCTAGCTCCAGGGTGAAGGATCCCCTGAGTCCTAGGACACAGAGCACTTGGAGAACATGGTCCTGCTGTCTCGGGGGATCTATGAGAAAAAGACACAAGCACCTCCTTCTCCCTTTTCCCTCCTCTTCAACGTCTCCTCACTTTGTCATTCCCTGCCCTCTGGTCTCTCTCTCTGAATCTGTTAAACAGTGGATGTGCTGGTGGTGATACGGGGCTCTCCATGTCTCAGTGCCCTCAGAGATCAAATGGGCATAATACGGTACTGGATGTGGAGGTTGTGTGGAGAGGAATCCATAGGTACCACATGTCAGGTGCAGGTGCATAGCAAGTGCTTGGTAAACAGATGCCCAAACCACCATTTTTGTGGGAAGTAAGAGCTTCACATTATACTTAGCATTGGCATCCGTCACTGTAATTAATGATTATAAGTGATAATTAATGAGTAAATCATTATTATTATTATTACTAGAGGCCTGTTGCATGAAAAGATTTGTGCAATAGGCTTTCCCTTCCCCTGGCTGCCAGCACCGGTTTTCCTCCAGCACCTGGGACCCAGGCCTTCACTCCGGCCGGAGCCGCCTTCAAGCCTTCGCTGCTCTGGCTGGAGCTGCCTTCAGTCTTCGCTCCCCCGCTTCACGCCTAAGTATGCAAATTAACTGCCATCTTTGTTGGCGGTTAATTTGCATATCTCGCTGATTAGCCCATGGGAGGCATAGCAAAGGTATGGTCAATTACCATGTTTGTCTATTATTAGATAGGATTATTGGCAAATCAAAGCCCCCTCCCACCACAAGCCTGGGTTCGAAGCCTGGCTCTACCATAGACAAGCCTGGCTCTTACACAGGCCCCTTAACCAGGTAAGATGGTTAAGGGGTCTGTGTAAGATGGTGAAGTGAGTCCCTAAAAGCACTGAAATATTGCCAGGGAGGTAGTGGAAGTCAGTCCGTCCTGGTGAAGGAGGAGTCAAGTGGGGACAACAGGCTGGCAGACACAATAACAGGTGGTTTTCAAACATCTGGGTAACTTTAGGGAAGAGGCAAGAGGAGTGGGTTAGTATTGATGATGGAGCCCATAGTCCTCAGCACCAAACTCCCGATGTCTTGGTGACCTTGTTGGAGATAAAGATAGCAAACATCTTTAAGTCCACCAGGGACCAGGAAGTATTTCATCTATTGTGATAAAAATAATTTTGGGTGGTGTTTTTGGTTTATTTTTCTTGTTGCTTTTATTGATGTTTGGAGTTTGACTCTGTGTCAGGAACTGGGAACCACCTTGAATATATTGCTCATACTTTGAACGGCTCCATAATGTAGACTTTATTGTTACCCTGTCTTGGAGAGAGAAGTAATCCCAGGCTTCAAAGGTAAAGTAACTTGCTCAAGGTTCCACAGCCAGTAAGTAGCAGAGGCAAGATTTGAACCCAGGTGGTCGGAACCCAGATGGGGCCCAGTTAACCCGTGTGTTACTCTGTGAGACCTGCCATAACATAGTGTCACAGACTGGGTGGCTTAAACATCAGAGATTTATCTTCTCACACTTCTGGAGGCTGGAAGTCCAAGGGTAATGTGTCAGCAGGGTGTGTTTCTCCTCAGGCTTCTTTCCCTGGTTGTAGATGGCCATCTCCGTGTCTTTACATGGTTTTCCTCTGTACATGTCTGTGTCTTAATCTCCTCTTCTTATAAGGACAGCCATCAGATTGGATGAGGACCCACCCTAATGACCTCATTTTAATGCGATTACCGCTATAAAGACCCTATCTCCAAATAGTCACGTCCTGAGATACTAGGGGTTTGGGATTTCCACATTTGATTTTTTGGGGAACACAATTGAATCCATAGTAAGCCCCCTACCTGTGTTTCCTCAGGGGTGAAGCACATACCATTGTTAAAGCAGCATGGTTTCAGGTAGTGACCTGAACACTAGCAGCAGTGAATTATACCCACAGAAGGCACTTTGCTTTTCAGATCTCTCCCAGGGACTCTGATTGCACCAGGGAGAAACTCTCAGCGAGGTGCTAATGACTGACTGTAACTTTCCAAGGCTTACAGGTCTCCACTTTGTTTTGTTTTGTTTTTTAAATATATTTCATTGACTTTCTACAGAGAGAAAGGGAGAAGGATAGAGAGTTAAAAACATCAATGAGAGAGAAACATCGATTAGCTGCCTCCTTCACACTTCCTGCTGGGTATGTGCCTGCAACCAAGGTACATGCCTTTGGCCGGAATCAAACCTGGGACCCT